TGTGTGTGTGTGTGTGTGTGTGTGTGTGTGTGTGTGTGTGTGTGTGTGTGTGATATTCTTTTTATAAGAAACCTTCAATTAAAATTCCTCCGTTCTCCATTGCCTTTGGTTAGAGCGTTAATGAGAGGAGAGTGATCTTGACTTTCTGGATGCCCTGTACTGTTTCTGCTCTAATAATCTGCCCTCACCATGGTAACCTCAGATGCAGGAAAGTCATGTGGCATCCCAGAGGTCTTTAGTTTTATTGCCAAAGTTGTTAACCTCTTGGTTTTCTCTGTTCTCGTTCTCCTCACCGCTCTGTGGCTTCTTCTTAGCACAGTTAACATGTAACCTCAGCTGACCAGAGCAGACCAAGCCGCAGGGCTCCTGCTCAGAGGGAGGTGTGCTCCAGCCATGGCTCTTCACGACAGCTGTTCCAGTTGATCCACAATCCATTTTTGTCTTGATCTTTTCCCTTTTCAAAAATAAACAGGCAGAGGCTCGGGATGTGCTTGCCTGGCAAAGTACCTGTCTAGTATGTAGCCCTGGGTTTGATCCCAGCACCACATACACTAGGCGCCAACCGAGGCCGCATGAGACCTTGTTTCAAACAAACAAAAACAAAAACAAAAAATAGGTCAGTCAGGGATGGTGGGGGTTAAGGCAGGAAGATCATAAATTCAAGGCCAGCCTGGGCTATGTAGTGAGACTCTATCTCAAGGTGGGGGGGAAGGGGCAATTGAGGATTAACTGAAAACACAAAGAACGGCATAACTAAGTCCAGAACTTAAGTCATCCGATATAAACTTTAGGAGTTCGGATTTACTGAGCTGGGTCGATTGCACTAAACTTTGAATTAGAAAAAAAAAAAAATAGATTCACTGTGGCATCATTTCCAGAAACATGCAATTCTAAGAACTAGGTCAGCCATTAGTAATTTACAGAGGTCTTTGAAAGATATGTATTTTACTAAGTAGATAAGTTATAGTTAAAAATTCTATCAACAATTAAATGATGTGGATGACTAACAGATATTTGAGCACACTTAATTGCGATTTAATAATGTTCTTTGTATTTGTGTGCCTCATTAATTTGCATAGACAATACAAAATGAAATTTGACACAATAGATTTTTTTCAACTTCTAACCAGTGGACCTCTCCTTAGACATACTGTATTCGGGAATGGATTTATCATTTGCCTGACTCATAGAAATGTTTTATTTTTTTTATTTCTATCTTTCATCTTAAATTATTTATTTTTGTCTTTATTATCTACAAGCAAACTTGAGTTAATACCTTTGAAGAACTGAAAGTACTATGGTTCTTCAAATATACAAATGCTTATGGTTTTTGTTGTTGCTTTTTAAAAAAGGTTTTTGAGATTTTATGTATTTTTATTTTATGTGTATGGGTGTTTTGCCTGTATATATGCCCACACACTATGTATATGCAGTGCCCTCAGAGGCCAGAAGAGGGCAACAGACCCTAGGGAACTGGAATTACAGGTAGTTAATTGTGAGCTACCATGTAGGTGCTAGTAATGGAACCTGGGTCCTCTGGAAGAGCAGCCAGTGCTCTTACCCATGGAATTATTTCTCCAGCCCCTGGAAAGTTCATGTTCTTATGAGATGAAATAAATGGAGAATTTGGAGATACTTCATTCCAATGCAATGTTTAAATGTTACAGTTTTTTTTTTTTTTTAATGAAAGTTCTATAAATCTCATTTCAGTGACAAGTTTCAAGAAAGAAAGCGACTGTTAGGTATTTTCTTTCTTATTTCTTCTATAAAATGTATTTAAAGTTAGAAAGAGCCAGGCATGGTAGTGCACTCAGGAGGCAGAGGCAAGTGGATCCCTGTGAGTCTATGTAGAGAGCTCCAAGCCAACCAGAACTGCACAGTGGGAGACAGTGTCTCAAAAGTAAACATAATACATACATACATACATACATACATACATACATACATACATACATACATACATACATACTCACACACCTATATACGTATGGGGCTGGAGAGACAGCTCGGTGGTTAAGAGAAGTCGTTGCTCTTCCAGAGGACCTGAGCTTGATTCCCAGCACCCACATGGAGGCTCACAACTGTCTGCAACTCCATTTCCAAGGGATCTGATACCCTCTTCTGGTCTCCACAGGCACTGCATGCACATGGCTCACAGACATACCCACAGGCAAAACACTCATACACACATAAAAATAATTACATAAATAAAATTGGAAAGCCAGTTTTATGGACATAAATGAAGATTAAGAATCCTCCTCTTTAGTACACTCATAGACAACTTTCTAGAAAGCATATAATTAGTGCACAAAACAAATTCATGCCTTATCATTGACCTCCCTCCTGAAAACAGCTCAAAGTTTGGTGCCCACAGTTAAAGTCATCATTAACAATGGATCTGATTTCTTTTTTTCTTCTTTTTCCATCCACTGCCCAGACTTTGAGTCACTCAAGTTGATTGTATAAGTATTTTCTGGAAGAATGTAAATGGACCCAAGGCAGCTCTTGACAGCCTGAAGGTGGTGTTGCTCTGATCTGCTTACTGAGGGGCTAAATTGTGAGCTGGATTCAGGCCTCGGGCCTGTTTGGCATTCTTTGCAGGGCTGGATCTGGTGGTGCAAGCTCAGGCAGGACAGTCCCGCAGACAGCTGTGTGGAGGGGCTGCATGCTCAGCTGCGCTCTGGGAGCTGATTTGACAGACACCCCAAATCTGCCTGTTTTAAGCCCTTCCCCTTGAGACCCTGTCCCTTCAGTGTCCACACCACCGAAATAGTGTCATGGAGCTCTCTCTGTGAAAGTTACTGTTCCTATGCTGCACTTTCTATGGCTTCTGTCATCACAGCTACATTTCCAGACTCTCTCTCCGGGACTGAATGTAGAGTCTTGCCCAAGTAAACCAAATGCTCCCCATGTCCCACTAGGAAATCAGAAGAGCTGGTAGCCAGGCTGCAGACGTTGTATCCTGGCCTTTGCCTCTCCTTGGAAAAAATCATAATAACTTCATAAAAAAAAAAAAAGAGGGTAGGAGAAGGGTGTGGTCGTGTAGCCCTGCTATCCCAAGAGGGGGAAGCAGGGAGATAAAAGAGTTCAAGGCCATCCTAAGCTATATAGGGAGTTGAAAACCATCCCAAACTACCCAAGACCATGTTTAAAAAAAAAAAAAAAAACCCAAACGAATAAATCCAAAAAAATTTCACCACAAAATGGTGATATCTAAACTTTTAAAAAGTTTTTTAAAGTTGTTATTCATGTTTATTTTATGTAAGTGTTCTCCCTGTGAATATGCAAGGTCCACAGAGGCCAGAAGAGGGCGTCAGAAGCCCCGGAACTGGCAGAGATTGTTGTGAGCATCCATGCAGGTACTGGGAACCAAACCCTGGTCCTGGTAAGAGCAGTGAACACCTTTAACGCCCCCATCCACCACTCTAGCCCTGTAATTCCCAATTTTAAAAAAGTAGACCTTCCGTGACATTTTACATAAAATGTGCTGTCTTGTTGGTTTGGGGCCAGAGCTCAAATCTCTCTAACTTCCCCATCTCTAACCATCTGACCTTCCTACCTACCCCTCTTTCACCCCACCTCCACAAACCTCTTCGTCTCTCCCTACCCCAGCCTTCCTGTCCCTGACTCTCATACCCACCTACACTCCATGTCACACCACCTGAGAAGTGGCCTGTGTGTGTTTCGTGCTTCTCAGTAGCCTAAGCTTCCTCCTTGGGACCTGTTTCAAAGAACTTCAAGTGTCTTAGGATGGTTTATGTGTGATAACACCACACTGGGGGGAAACTGCATTTTACAAAGACTTGCAGTCCTAGTCCTAAGAAATCTTTCCTATTTTGAGTAGCAAGCATATGGAGAAAATTTCCAATATTTTATATGTATGGGTGTTTTGCCTGTATGGATATATGCCCACGCACTACGTACAGGCAGTGCCCGCAGAGGCCAGAAGAGGGCAACAGATCCTAGGGAACTGGAATTACAGGCAGTTAATTGTGAGCTGCCACGTAGATGCTAGTAATGGAACCTGGGTCCTCTGGAAGAGCAGCCAGTGCTCTTAACCATGGAATTATTTCTCCAGCCCCTGGAAAGCTCATGCTCTTATGGGATGAAATAATAGAGAATTTGGAGCTACTGCACTCCAATGCATTGTCTTTCTCCACGAGGGACTCAGTCCCTCTGACACCTTGAACCCGAAGACACTGGCCTTCCTTTAAATTGTTTCTGTCAGGTGTTTTGGTCATAACGATGAAAAGAAACATAAAAATGAAACACGGCCCCAATACTGCCAAGCCCGGGGGTGTGGCTTATCAGAAAGAAATGCAGTCAACTCACACAGACGCTCACACTGGCTCACAGTCTGCTGGGTTTTGCTTCTTGGCATCAGTGGAAAGATGGATGATCCCAGGTGGGCTCGGGTCCTCAAAGACACAGGCTCTTCCTGTCTCTCCACTTCTCTCTGATCTTAGTATGCTGTCTTTTCACCCCGTGGTGAAAGGTGGCTGCAACAGCTCTCAGCACCACTCACATTCAAGTCAGGAAGAGGAGAGGAGACAGAGGTAGCCAGGTCTGAATTTATTAGGGAAGCAAATTTTTTCTTTCTTAGTAACCAAATATGGATCTCATGGCTATCCTCTAGCCACAATGCAGAGCTGAGAAGTGGACTGTCATGGTATGTCCTGAACCCAAACTAAATCCGGGTTCATTAGCATGGGGGAGTGGGGATGGATAGCAGAGAACTGGTATTCCTCACCCTACAGTAGTTATGTCCAGCTCTAGCATCTCTTACTGAATTGTAGGTTCCATGTGAGCAAGAGCTATTTGTGTGTCTTTGTATTCCTGACACACAGTACCTGACACACTGTATATGCTCAGTGAACATTGATTATCTAAAGCTATTCCTGAATCTGTGTTTGTATTTTAACATACACACTTTGACACAATTTTAAAGTATATATTACAATGATCTTTAGGCCAGTTCATGCTTTAATAATAGGAGTTATTAAACTCATTAAACAACAAAAATCACCTACCTTGGTCCCAGTTAGCAGGAGACAATATCTTAGAGATTGTGCCACTCCAGTGTTCATCCCCAGTTCAGATATAATATTCTCAGAGAACTGCCTGGGAGCCTTCCCGCTGGAGCCCAGTACGACAGAAGCACTTTGAGACACTCCTAGGCCATCCCTCCATCCTCCCGTGTACTCACTCTGCCTTGCAAAGAGCTTTTGTCTGAGAAGCCTGGGCTCTGCCTTATAGAAGGCAGTAGTGAGAGCTAGATCAGATCCTTCTGTGCCCCCTCTAAAAGACTCAACAAAAGTTCATGGCATGGGCTGGGGATGTAGCTCAATTGTAGCGTGCTTGCCCAGCACACACAGAACCCTGGGTCCCGCCCTCGGTGATACAGAAACTCGTGTAGTGATGTCTACCTATTACCTCAGCACTGGGGAGGTGGAGAAAGAAAGGGGGGGTCGTATGTTTTAGAGCATGCTCAGCTGCATAGTGAATAAGGCCAGCCTGGGCTACTTGAGATCCTGTCTCAAAAACCAAAACTGTCCACAGTAGAATGTTGTTCCACCTCATTGTCTCTTTCTGTCTCTTTGCGCTCAGTACAGATTACAGTGTCTCTAGGCAGCCATCTAAAGCAGACACTGAAGCGTCCTCACGGCAGCCTCCCTCCATATCACATCTTGTCACTGTGTCTCTGATTCATTCTGAACTGCTTACCTATCTCTGTCTGCCTCCACCCTATGTGTAGAACAGCGTTTTTCAACCTGTGGGTGCAAGGCCTTCGGGGGTCAAATGACCTTCCACGGGGGTTGCATATCAGATAGCCTACATATCAGATACATACAATTCATAAGAGTAGCAAAATTATAGTTATAAGTAACAATGAAAAAATTTTTCTGGTTGGGGGTCACCATAACATAAGGAACTATATTAAAAGGTGGCAGCATTAGGAAGCTGAGAACTACTGATGTAGATTATTATCTTGTTTTCAACAAATGGAACATATACTTCCATTCTTAACTCTTCCCAAAGCCATCTTCCAATTTCTCCTGGAGACCTCTTTCTACAATGCATGTGCTGTTGCACTCTTTAAAAATCTCCAGTCCATCTGGACAGTGGTGGCGCACACCTTTAATCCCAGCACTCAGGAGGCAGAGCCAGGCAGATCTCTGTGAGTTCGAGGCCAGCCTGGTCTACAGAGAGAGCTCTAGTCAGGATAGGCACCAAAACTACACAGAGAAACTCCGTCTCAAAAAAAAAATCCAGTCCTTTCCTCTTATGCTTGGGATAAAGTTTGACCTTCTCAGCCACTGGACCATCTAGATCTTCAGCCTCATACCTCCCACACCTGACTTGCTTATATAATGACAAGAAACCACTTAGCCATCCCTTTGGACACCTGCTTCTTCTCAACTTCTGGTTTTGTTCTTGAGGGCTGTGCCTGTGGTATCCTCCTTTCACCCACATTTCCCTGTTTGCTGTTTGACTATTTGTTTATTTAAGACAGGGTCTCGTGTATCTTAAGCTGAACTTGAACTTGACATATATCCAAGGGTGACTTTGAACTTCTTGTCCTCCTGCCTCTACCTCATGAGTGCTGCTTATGTGACACCACACCCTGTTTTTATAAGACACTAGGGATTGAACCCATACCTCATACTTGGCAGCACTGCACCAGCTAAGAGCCATCCCCAGTCTCAACTGTTGCTTTTTTTTTTTTTTAACACTCACTTGACTGTGAAACCTTCCCTAACTACACCTCTCTCTTCCCTAACTCAGGTCTGTGCTCTTCATTCTCGGCACATCATGTTAAAAATTGCCCAGCATCCTTCAGTCTGCTCTGTAAACACTAACTTATACCACTTTGGGGGTTGGTATTTAAGACTCCTCCTTGTATTCTCAGTGCCTAGCAGAGCAAGCAACCTGTTAATGTCTATTGAGTTGCTGAGTGAATGAATGAGTGAGTGAGTGAGTGACAAGAGGAAAGGGTGGCTTTCAGAAATATCAAATGGGCTGAAACATGTTTGAATATAAGTTTGACTTAGCATGGTATGCTAAAGTCAAGATGCCTATTCCTTTATGCCTGTTTATTTTGACCATGCATGCTATAAATGCTGTGGTGGTTTTTTTTTTTCCTATTAAAGATATATTCTGCATTTGGTTTTCAGGTTAAAGCCATTTACATCCATTGTGACATGTTCTCAGTTCAAAACGGTTTGCTGACACCAACACTAAAGGCTAAGAGACCCGAGCTGAGAGAGTACTTCAAAAAACAAATAGAAGAGCTTTACTCGGTCTCCATGTGAAGCCCCAGGGGGGCTCTTCTCAGTCCAGTGAACTTTGCAGCAATAGTATGGTCATTCTTGAAAGAGAGGAATCGGAGTGACAGAGCCGATAAGGAACGAGCATCCGATCTTGCGACTGAGCCTTTCCTGACCCGTGAAGTCTCTAACAATATTTTCTCTACCATCACCAAGTATACTTTATTTTTATTAAATGATATTGTAGCAAGCTGCTAAAAAATATCGCAAATGGCAATGTAAAAACAAATCAAGACACTTTCTCAAGAACTGTGTACCACTAAAAGTAATATATTCGCAATGTTCACAGAATTCCATTAAACATAAAGGAAAAAAACGTAACTGATATATTGTACTTAATTATTTGTGGAATAATAACCAGATACAGCGAATGTCTAGGCAATGTGGACTACCTCATTAAATAACCATCAAAGGTCGCAGTGAGGCCAGACTCAAAACTTAAAGCAAGATGTGGGAAGTCACGCCCAAACAAAACATGGTAGTTTGCATGTGACCTGACTCCCATCCTTTAACATGACCATCCTTGTTGATGCAAAAGCCTTCTGTCTGATTTTTACTTTTATATGGAAAATGGAAATGTAGATGTTCTTTTTAAAAGTATTATATTTATTTAATAACTCCCAAAGTTCTTTCAGTACATTTTCTCATTGATTAAACTCACTGAAATATTCAGAATCTACGTACAAAACTACATATAGGGTGTGTGTCTTTACGGAATTCTTACCATAACAAAGCTTAAAGGATAGCTTCTGACTGCAGCAAATGGAGCCGTGGCAAACACTCAGGGGAAGGAAGACGCTCAGTGATTTCTCGGGGTGGGTGACAGTCCGTGTACTTGTGTTCCTGCTAGAATCTTTACCCTTTCCATTTTCAGTACGTCTGTGCCAAGTCTGGGAAACACAGTATGGCTGAAATTCTGAACAACTTTGCTTTCCTTATTATAACTATTAAGGCAAATGTGAGGAGGAATAGATGCTATTTCCAAATAACTCTTCAATGACACGATATGGAAGCACTTCTTCAAAATTTTCCTAGAAAACTATTTAAATCCAACATAGAGCAAGATCTGCTAATGGTGTAATTCCATTCTTAGAATCTCTAGATGCTCCTAAGTTTGACCATTAAACCTTAATTGTACCACATATTTAGATGCATCCTGAATCTGGGTGCCATGATTCTAATGTCACTAAAAGCCTCGATACCATGGACAGCGCAATTCAGGCCGGCATTATACATTCTGTGCCTGAGGAGAGCAAGGTCCCTAGGGAAGTCTTTCTTTTCTGTTGGAACAGGACTCTGAAAGTATATGGAGAATTCATGCAGTTCACATGACCTTTACAAATACATATGTGATCAGTGTGGCAGGACAAGAACTCCTTAGACCTGGAGGAATTCCAACTTGGTTTGTAGGTGAATGTTGTCAGTCAGAACCTGCATCATCATGCAGGCCTGTTGGATGGTCCCAACCTGTTTGTAGGTGAATGTTATCAGTTAGAACCTGCATCACCATGCAGGCCTGTTGGATGATCTACATCATTGATCATACATGTGTTTCAATCATGCTGAGTCTTGACCTCAGCTTCAATTGATGTAGTTATTCGGGTACATTTTTTTTTTGATTCAGGTACATTCCTTGGGCATAATCTCTCTGAAGACTCATTGTTGCACTTATAAATTTGATTTTGAATAAATGAGCAAATTCTGTTCACATTAATTTGTTTCACAGGGTGGAAGATCAAAACCAGGGCCTCGCACATGCTAGGCAAGTGCTGTCCCACTGAGCTCCACTCCCAGTGTGCATTAAATTTGGAAGACATTTCTGACTAGACAAATAACACATCCAAAGCCACATGTGGGAAGCACTGGCTTTTTAGATACTTAATACATATTTGATAATTAAAGTTGAAGGTCATTACCTGAATTAGATACTCATATTATTTTAAGGGCAAGCAGTTCTGCACTTCAAATAAAAGAAGCTGTTTTCCATTGTCCTACTTGACTAAAATCTCATAACTGACTTTGATTCCAACAGAATTTTTGAACAGTGCAATTTAAGCAAATGATTTATCCATATTCTATTTATTCTTCATTGTTGTTAGATGTGATTAAATATGGACAACCTTTGTTTGTTGCTTGTCTCTCAAAAGATTTTGCATTTCTGTTGAACTTCCCCAATCTGGGTGGGAACTATCACACTCCATGGGAGGGTGCAGATGTGCTTAGAAAGCCAACGGCGGGCCCTGAATGCATTGTATGCTCTCTTGCTCCTCTGTGAAACACTACTTACGTTTGTAACAAGAAAGAAATGAAACAGCATGTCATCAGTGGAAAAATCCTTCTTGCTTCATATTTCCCAACCTTATCTCAGGTGATGAAAAATAAGTTTGTGTTTCTCTTTGACCAATATAGGATAAAAGCTAAGTGCTTAAGAACTTGTCATAATCCCAATGGGCACCACATACTGTTTCAAGTCTGGAGGTCGCAGAGACTAGATTCCTTAATCATAAATATGTTCTTAAATGTTTGGCATTTGTATCTATTTGCCATTCAAATGTGTTCTTAATTCTCACTTTTTTTTTTAACAAATCAACCCAATTTGGGCAAACACTACAAAACAAATATATGCATTGCCCCCATTAGCCACAAAAGATGTCTTTATACATAGTATTGAGACATCCCCTCCAGATGGTAGAGAAGACTGGTAGGGTGTGGTATGCAGGCCTAGCTCCATGTATTAGGATCTCAAACTCAGAGGTTCAAGGAGTAGCCATACCCTGTCTTCCTCACAAGCCTGAGGAGGGGGACCCTAAAAGTCTCCATTGAGAGTTTTACAGCCAGGTAATGTTTTAGCAATTTGAAATCAGCACTTAAAATTTGATTGTATTGTCCATGAGAGAACCAGTGGTTATTAATTATTCTGCCATAATAAATGAATTGTTCTGTATGTTTCACATGTATTAAGCACAAGTGTGATGCAGTTATTTTAAACGCAAAATACTAGAAAATGAATGTAAAGAATGGAAAATTATATTTTTTTTGCATGAAGATAAACTACTTACAAAATTGCTTAATATCTCAGGACAAAAGAATGAATAATCATATGTAAAACTGATAAATCATAAGTTGGCTGTATTTTCTTGACAGTTTTAATTTTAAGAAAACACTACAATGATAAAATGGATCCTGACAGTCTTAAGCTCTCTCTTAAGTATGCTGCCTAATTCTGCCTGTGAATCTACAAATAATCCTGTGAGAATGAGTGCAGCATCCATGAGGACCAGTCCCCCGAATGAGAATCTCTTCACTGAGAACACATTAATAGTTGTACTACAGAGGTGCTGTACATTTGAAAATGTAAGCAAGCATTTCTAAATCTAGTCCCAAACACAAAGGGTTTTCAGGAGGTAATAATGCCAGTTAAGCATTCATCTGACCGCTCAGTTTACTTTTCCTTGTTAAATCATCGCAATGATTGCATGGGGAGGGGGAAATGGCTATTTTTGGAGAATTGCATATTCTACTTTCAATTTTTGAAAATCAAGGAATTAAAATATTACTTTTTAAATATGCATAGATGTACCTTAACTGTAATTATATTTTAGTTTGCTTTGTTATAACAGCATGAACATCAAATACAAAATGCACTTATGAAAACTTTTGTAAAAAATAAAGTTTTTTTTTATTTCTCAAAATTGTTTATAATTTCTTTCTCTGTTATATGCTTCTATGATGTAATTCCCTTATGAGAATGTGTTTGATAATCATCAATATGGTGTATTTGGTACCCAAGCATGAAGCTTTTGCATCAGCATATTCTGCATCACCTCTAAGTTTTCAAAAACTTTAAGTAGTGAGACATGATTAATTATGGACAGCTTAGGTGCACCCAGAAGCTTTCCTTTGTGCGGGCCTTTGCTGGAACCCTTGCTATTATCAACCATGTCCTGGATTTAAATCATTTTCAGTCTTCCAAAGAACAAATAACTCTTCAAAATTTTCAATCATGAAGATGGTCTTTAATATTTCCTCAATGTCATTTTTTTTGGGGGGGGAGGGGTTTCGAGACAGGGTTTCTCTGTGTAGCTTTGCATCTTTCCTGGATCTCACTCTGTAGACCAGGCTGGCCTCGAACTCACAGAGATCCGCCTGCCTCTGCCTCCTGAGTGCTGGGGTTAAAGGCGTGAGCCACTACCGCCCAGCTCTCCTCAATGTCATCTAACCAATCATAAACTAAAAGAAAGACATCCTTCCTTCCTTCCTCCTTCCCTCCCTCCTTCCCTCCCTCCCTCCCTCCCTCCCTCTCTCCCTCCCTCCCTC